GACTCTGCCAGGAACGGTTCTGAACTGGCTTCGGATTGTCGTGGATTCTGCAAAAGGTGGCAACAAAAATGGTTCCGCTCTGCTAGGTCTCCGTGGGACTATGCCGGGGAAGATTATTAACTGGCTTGGGGTGGTGGCTGATCTCTGTTATTTGGAAGCTGGGCTCGTCTCATGTTGGGCTACGGAAGCAATGTCATATGCCGTTGGCTGGCGTCGGATTCATGGGCGACTACTCTGGGGGTGTCGGTAGGCGGGCCTGAGCGCTGCTCTGGCCCTTGCTTCGCACTGTACGCTGAGCGCTGCTCTGGCTGTGGCTGTGCGGTTAGGCGTTTGCATCGTCGCACGGCTTGAGGGAATTTGGTATGATTATCGGTGTGCCTGAGCGCTGCTCTGGCCGCTGCGGCGGGGTCTAACTTGGTCGGAGGGGAGGTCTTGCGAGCGCACGCATGTGCGGTGCTCTTGCAGAGTCATGGAAAGGCTGAACGATGCTTTGGCTGCGGGTTGCACCTGGCAGTGGCTCTTCCGATGCTGCGTCGGATGCATGGGCAACTAACCTCTGCGACGCCTTTTCTTTGGGATGCCAATATGGCTGTTCCCGCTGCACACCGCGCACGTCCATGTTGGCATGACCTGCGCATGGTATTCACTGTGCGTCCTTGGCCGTGAGCGACCACAACTCTCACAGGGCGGATATGCACAGGCTAAACACCATACACCGTCTTGAGCTTTTGGACCAAGGATTTGCCCGCACTTGGGACAAGACTTGACTGAGCAGGCTTTGCAGGTCCACTGCGGCATGACGTTGACACGGTAACGACTTTCTTGCGGGCGCTGCGACCCACAGCTCTCACATGGTGGATATGCACACGCTAAACACAATGCACCGGTTTGTGCTTTTGAACCAAGAACTTGACCGCACTTGAGACAAGACTTTTCCGTGCAGGCTTCGCAGGTCCAGTGCGGCATGACTTTGACATGGTAGCGCCTTTCTTGCGGGCGTTGCAGACCGCACATTGGACACGGCGGGTAACTATTGCGTATACTGCATGCTTGACACCACCAAAGTGGCTTCTGCTGGGCGTGGTACCCTGTTTTCTGTGGGCGGGGCTCGCCACAACCTCCGCTGCAAGGTGGATATGCACATGTGACGCACCAAGTGTCTGCCTGCACGTTGCTCGGCAATGGGCCGGCACAGTTCGCACATGGCTTCGCCGCATTGCAATGTTGACAAAACCATTTCTGCAGGTGTTTTGCATGGTTGGCTCGTCTTTCGGGGCGTGGCGCGCCGCAACCTCCACTGCATGGTGGATATGCACATGTGGCACACCATGTGCCTGCCTCTGCGTTTCGCGGCAAGGGGCCGGCACAATTTCCACATTTGGGCGCTGCATTACAGCTTTTACAGAGCCAGTTCGGCTTCTGTTTTGCATGGTGGGATGACTTGTGAGGGCGTGGTTGCCCACAACCTCCGCTGCAAGGGGGAAATGCGCAGGCAGTGCACCAAGTCCCCGGAGTTGCATTTGCATGCAAGGGCTGAGAACAGTTAGCGCAAGTCTTGGGTGCCCGCGCTTGCTTTGCGATGCATGTGCGGCACACTCCGGTCTGGGATTCTGCACTGTAGTTCGCTAGGTGCGGCACACTGATGGCTCGGTTGCAAGTACTGCACAAGCCCTGTTTTGCAGTTGCTGCCACTGGGGCGATAGCACACTTCTTGCAGCGTGCTCTTCGGAGTTCTTTGGTTTTTTTTCTTCGCGTGATTTCTTCCGGGCTAAAATCTAACAGGCTTTTTGTTTTGATTTTCTTCCCGATATCACACTTGCTGCACGCTAAGCGAATTTTGGCACACTTCGAACAGTAGCCGGTCTGGTCGGCTGGCAAGGTCTGGCAATATGCGCATGCATTCACCTCCTTAGACTTCCTCTTGGTTGCAGGGCTGCTCTGCTTCGTTTGACACTGGGTGCAAAAGCGACACATACCTTCTGACAAGACTCGGAACCATTCCTCTTGGTCCCAGGCCGAGACAAATTCTCGAAGTGGCAAAAGTTTTTCCTCTAGGTGCGGTTGGGGGCTACAACCCCGGCAAAACAACATAATGTCACGGTTTCTTCGTTTGTTCGGCTTGTCGGAGTCAAATCGAATTTTGGCCTGTGCCAGTGTCAGCTTTTCGCGATGTACTTCGAGGAATGTGTGGGGTCCAATTAACTCTCCGTGACTAAACAAGTTGGGGGAGAAGGGTTGGACTATGCACAAATCTTCGGCTTTGCGCACCCTGGACAGGCACATGTATCCGCTGAGCTGTGCCTCGCGGGAGGTCGTGGCATCCCAGGTGCCAAGGTCCAATGTGCATGCACCGAGGGTTGCCCCCATAAACGAATGCGCCGTGCCAGCGTAATCGGAGGCTATTGGAAAGCCGCGTCGAGAGACTGTAGCCTTGCCGTTGGTTTCGAGTGTCCACGTCTGGGTGACGGGTTCGATTCGAGCGATCCCAACGGGCAAGTCTGGGTGCTGTTGCCACTTCGCACCTTCGACCTTGACATACAACGCCCGTGGAAGGCGTTGTAACACGATGTCTTGGCCTGCTACAGCTCCGACAGCCTCTTGGTCGGCCTCGTGGAGTGCCCAATTCCAAAGGGTGCCTCGGGTGTTTTTAAAGAGCCCGAAGGCTTTCAGGTCAGACAGAGTTTGCGTCACTCGGATTGGCATATTCTGGAGAAGTGGTAAGATTCCTACGACACCGCCGGTGGACTGGTCATGGCGCTGTAACCAATTTTCGCGTCGGGCCTGTAGTTCCGTCGCCTCCACATGAAAAAGCGGGGTATCTTGAGCAATGATCCAAAGCAACTTGTGTTTGCGAGTGGTGGCTACCCATTTGGCACGAAGGTTGGCTGCAATGTACTTGGCGGCATTCAGCCCGTGCACAAACGGATGGTTGAGGAAATGCTCGGCTTTTGGGTCTTTGCCTACGATACATCGACGTGCCCTTTCCTGCTGGCAAATTACACATTCCAACTGGTTGGGGGCGGTGGGTTGAAGATGTAGGGTGTTGCAAGTTTTTTGGCCGCAGCTGGCTTCATTGGTTTGAAAGGACCACGAGCCGGCATGGAGTGTTGGAAACCCGTGTAAGAAAGACCACACTTCCTGCGACATGTTTCCATGCCTCGCCTGGTGAAGAATTTGGCTGAGCCAGGCGTCCTCGCACCGCTGTTCGAGGGTGAGTTCAAACAGGTGTGGGATAGCGAGCGAGGTGTGCGACCAACATATTTGCTGCAGTGCGTTGACTTGGAAGCTTGTGTTTGACTGGAAAGGGTTCTGGTAGATGGCTGTGGCTTTGACTGGCGGGAACTGCCACAAGTCCCCGGTCAAGATGATGTTGCGCCCTCCGAATGGCCTCCGTTCTCCCCCTGGCCGAAGTTTCCACGTATCCCGATCTCTGGTAGACTGCTGCAGGCGTTTCTCCAGAGTGGCCAATATTTCGAGCCCGACTGTCGAAGATTCATCCACCACCAGCCACCGTAGGCGTTGATACTTAGCGAACTGTTCCGGTGTGCTGGTGTTTTTTGCTCGGGCCCTTTTGGTTTTCACCTGGATATTGGCAAACGAGTGTAACGTCATGCCAGCAATCAGTGCAGCCTGGGTGTTCTGCGGTGCCAAGTATACAAACTCTTGTTGATGCTGCCACCCACACAAATCTTCGAAAAAAGCACGCAACCACTTGAGGGTTTGGGTTTTGCCTGCACCTGGAACCCCGTGGAATACTGCACGCAAAGGCTCGCTGCGGGAACTTTCGGCCTGTTCTTCTTGAGCCTCTGTGAGGCAGCGGTCGACGACAGCACGCAGGAATTTCAGTTGTTCGGCTGTGGGTTTACATGCTGACCGCGGCTCTGCATTTGCTGCGCGCGGTTCTGCACTGGCTGAGCGCTGCTCTGCACTGCCTGCGGCTGGATCGACTGCCACCGAGCCCTGCTCTGCGAGACGCTGCAGCCATGCTGTGGCAGACTCTGGCGTTAACTTGCCGTAGGTCCAGCTCAGGGGTTCGGTCTCCGGCAACGGCGTCGGTTGCTGCCGTTTGCTTTGACTATGATCAAGCTTTATGTCAGTTATTCCAGTGTTTACAAACCAAGAGTTTATTGCATCAACCTGCGGAGTAGCTTCCCATTCCTCCACTATGCGGCGTACCGCTGGACCTGACCGTTTCGAATATTCGAAGCCCACACCTCGGACAAGTTTATCGATGGTGTCAGAAGTTACCCAGGTCGTATCCACTTCATGGTCTGTTGGCTGGGCTGGTGTTTCGGCCAGGTCGACTTCTTCTGGATCACACTCTGTTGCGGACAGAAAGTTTCGAATAGTGCGAGCTGCATGTTCAGACACAACGTGCTGCTGGATATATGCTCTCCATGCTAAATGGTGACTTCTTGGACCAGGTGCTGTCTTGGTCCGCAAGCGTGTACTGGGGTTGAGACTATTACTTCTTATCTCTAAGTCTAAGGCACTGATATGCGGGACATGCCGGGTAGCACTTTTCAGATCAAGTGTCCAGGGCCTCAGATAGACATTGAGGAGCCTCGCCTGTGCATCCTTTGACATATCGGGCTTCGGCAACGGACAGGTCGTCGGATATGGAATCAGTGGTTCGGTCCGTCTTTCCAGATAGTAATCCTGCACTCGACTGCATCCATGGCACTGCGGTAGCCGGACCAGGTTGGCGGCTCGGCTGTTTGGCAATGGGTCTTTCCAAATGTAATCACGGCCATATTGCCAGCCATCCACGGGTTTTCTGTCGGTGCCTTGCTTACTCACCCAAACACTGAGCCCTTGCCCGTCTTCAGTTGCATTTTTGGTGGGCGGCTGTAATTTTTTGAGACTCCACCATTTGATAAACTCCCACGGACTCAAGTGGAACACTCGTGCGTCGGTTCCTCGCCACCCGTATATTTCGGAGGACTTCAATGTACTCTTGTGCGGGTTGGGGGGTTCCACTTTATGACGAATATCTGTGACATGGTCTAATATACCAACCCACTCGATTCCTACAAACGGGACTACGGGGAAAGTGCGGATGCACTCGGCGGTGGTGGGATCGGTCATGTTGCTGAAGCCCGCAAGCATGAACTCTTCTGTGACTGGGCGCACTGAGCAACGAAATTCGAGATCCCCGAAGACTCTATGCACAACTTTGCGGTAGTGTGCTGCAGGGTCATCTTTGGCAGCTGCTTCTTCCAGGAAATGCAATTGCTTGGCCGCTTGTTGCAATTCTTTTCTTCCCAGCGGCTGCGGCTTCTGCAAATAGCCGGTGAAATATCTGGTGGGCCGGCGGGCTGCTTGCGCCATCGCCCGTTGTAGTTTTGGGAGCATGTTCTTTGCCAAGCAGCCTCGGGTGCAGTCGGTGTCGTGGGTGTTCGCCGATAAGGGCACCCGGAAATTTATTGCGGTGTGGGAGTTGCCAAATAACATGAGGGCGAATGCATGCGTGGTGCCTGACAACCAAGGATCGTCTCTTTTGTCTAAGACCATGCCTAATGCATTCCGCCGCCCGGCAGTGCTCTGCGCAAATTTTCGTGCGTTCCCTCTGCAAATTACTCGAACCTTTTCGTTCAGCACTTTTGGAAAATTGTGCTTACACTTATTTGGCGCCCCCTTCTTTCTGCAACCGGCGATTGGCAACCGACACTTCTGCGTGACGTTCCACGGATGCCAGTGAAGCTGCTGATGGCTGATCTTGCTCTGTGCTGCTCGACGGTAGTGGTGGATGAAACGACTTGCGTCGGCCAATGCCTGCTTGGGTTCCACTGCGTTCAACCATGGACTGGCCGCTTTGTCCTCGGCAAGAAATTTAGGCCACTGACACAAAAAATCGTGGCTTGCTTTGCAGTTGTTCTGGGCCCAGTCTGCTTCAAGGTGGTCTTGCTGTTGCGTATGGCTTGCTAGGTCAAGATGGGATTCGGGGTGTGCCCATGTCAAGAATTGTTGCACGTCCTCGAATGTGATGGTGCTGTCATTCAGTTTGGCTGCAAGTTCACTCAAAGATTGTTGCCAAATGGACGCGATGTACACGTTGCAGTGGAAATGCGGCGTGGAATTGGCTTGGTATTCGATTGCTCCGCATAGACCGCTAGCAATGCCAAGGATGCCCCCCGTCACGTGACACCCGTGTCCGCGTGCATCGCGGCAATCGCATGCTGGGCAACGAAAACACATGCGGATGCCGAGCAGTTTGGCGAAGATGCACCGCACCACGGTTTGGAAGCTGAGAACGACGGCCCACGGATCCCTCGCAGTCAGCTGTCTGCGAGTGTCGTATGGCGGCACGTCGATGGTCGCTTCTGCCGTCTCCCATAGCTTCGGGCGCTCGCGCGCTCCTTCGGCGGCTCCGCCAGGATCTGCAGCACGATAGCGGCTGAATTTGATGCACAAGGTGTTATGCCGGGTTGTGGGAGATATGGTGATGAAGAGGGGTTCTCCCATCTCAACCCTGGCCCCGAAGAGGAAACGTCCAATCCGACGTCGTACTTCAATCGTTCCAGGCATATGGCCTTGCATGCCTTTCACGTCCTGGAGCAATTCCTTTTCGTCGGCTGTGAGGCCGCGGGCATAGGGGAGTTTGCGGGTGTCAAAGTGTATGGGTTTGGGCTTCCCACCTGCAGTGCTATATGTGCCGGATCTCAGCTTGTTGTAGAGGCCACGAGCCGCTTGGACCCACTTGAGCATAGGTGCCGGTGCAAGGGCTTGCCGTTGTGACTTCCATTTCCGCCACAGCGAGCCGTGCCACACCGAGTGCCATTTGAATGTCAATCGTCGCAGCCCGGGAATCAGATCCCATGAGTTGCGAATTGAACTCTCAATGCGTCCGGCCAGAAGTTTCAAGTGTGCCAAGGGTTGCAAGTGCGGCGCATCTGCGGGCCTCCGTGGTCGCTCTTTGTGGGGAAAGTCCGGACCACTGACGGGTGCGGGGAGGCTGAAGGGAAAAGCCCAGGGGAGAAAGTCATTCTGCCACTGGTCCCAGAAGTTGTGCCCGGTTCGAATGGTGAGTGTGTCAGTCGCATTGCCTAATTGCAGCAACATGTCGACGTCGGGGTCTTTCCACTCTGCACCCGTGTAATCTTGTGACAGTACATTGGGTCTCACACTGGCTACGAAGGATTCGCCATTCAAAGCTGTGTCTGCGACTGACTCGGGTGTTGCATGCTTCTGCGGCAGCGGCTGGCTTGCGTCTGCACTGGCAGAAAAAAATCCTAGCATGGCTCGGACGAGCCGATGTGGTCTTTTCGTGGCTTTTGTCTGATGTGGTTGCCTGAGCGCTGCTCTGGCTTGTCACCTGCGGTGATGGGTCGTCGCCCGGCGAGGCATCCCGCTCAGGCTTTACATGTACAAATGGAAACTTGCCGTGGCTAGGTGCTGACACTGTAACCTCTTCCTTCTGCGGCGAGGTCGAGTCTGCTATGACTGCAGCTGTCACCTGAGGGCTGCCCTGATCTTTTCTCTCTGCTACCATCTGGCACATGCTCTGGGTTAGCATGTTGTGCAAGGTTGCGTTCGCATCGCTGTGGCTTGTATGCTGTGGAACCGTTTTGCTGTACACTTGGGTTGTCTCTTCGGATTGCAGGTGGGAAACGATCTTTCGGGATGCAGTTTTCACAAGAGAAGACTTGAAATGTTGCTCCACAGACGCTGGCTGAAACGAGCTCTGGCCGCTCATGGTTGGGGCATCGGTCTCGTTATTTGCACTGGTTGCTTCTGAGTTCACAGTAGCTGCTGCCTGAGCGCTGCTCTGGCGTCGCGCGCAGGGGTGCGCGCCGCTTGATGTCCCAGTCGGTGAAGAAGTTTCGTTCAAGTCGACTAGCGGCCTTGTTTCGTCCACCCCATAGATCCAGGTCACACGTTGCGTCACTGCTGTTTTTGCCTCCTCTGCCGACAAGTCCGACGCACACATTGGATGTTGTATGTCGATGAGGTGATGTAAGAGTGCACTGACGACCCAGGGTCGGATGCGTGCTCCTGCTACCCACTCGATTGCCTCATTGTATAACATGCCCTTCACATTGACTTTGACAATAGCTTGGAGGACATGTGGCGGGTGAGGCAACCTTTCCCAAGAGGTGTTCTGTCGGGTCTCGGGGGCCAATGCGGCGAGCACCTCTTCCCATGGAATGCTACAGGAAGACACATTGCCTCGGACTGCGGTTCTGTGTTCGGGCCGCTGCAAGTGCTCTTCTATCAAGTTGCCTCGGTCGGCTTCCAGGTAGTACATGATGACGGAAGTCCAGACCGGAGAAGCAGCTGCCGCTTCTATCCAACGCACTCTGTGGGTGTACAACAACTCTGTTGGGTATCCAAACCAATTGTCGTTTGCAAGGGCTTCTGGCACTGCACCAGCGTCCTGTTTACACATGTGTTCGAGGCAATTGCGACACAATGGCAGTTCACAAGCCTCACACAGTTGCAGCGCATTCTCGGCGCAAAGTCCGCAGCGGACGTCTTCTGGGCAGCAGATGAGTCGCATCCCGTTGCAGATGGTTGCTGGCAGTGTTCGCGTCCACTCGTGTGCTTCGAAACGATTGGTCACAGCAGCCAACGTAGCATATTGCGTCATGTATCTTTCCAAGTTCCAGTTTGCTTTGACCGCTTCTGGGGTCAGTGCATTGAATAACTGCTTGACAGATATGTAGGCAATCTCCCCTCCCATGCCTCCTGGACTCACTCGGGCGCAACAACCGCAAATCAATGCTTGGCAAGTGTTGTCGTCCAAATCCACTTGTAATCGACGCAGTGTGCGCCGATCGACGCTCCAGCCAACTTGTGGGACCTGCCCACGTTCCCTTTCTAGCACTGCAGCTGTGTATGTTGCAGCCACAAGTTCACGGGGTATGTTCGTAAAGTGTTCAGCATGACACTCATCGAGGTGTGCCCACAAACACACCTTCCCGTTTCCACAGCACTGCAAGGTAGTGTGTGCCCATGTTGTTGCTTTCATGTTCCACACCTTTTCCTTTGACCAGTGCGGGTGGCACGGTTGTGTGTCGGATGCCCACCCGCATCCCTCAAAGGCACAATGCACGGCTGGGTATACGAGACCACTATTAGGCTGCATGGTGGGGAATTCCGTCATCGCGGCTGGAGATGGCAGCAGAGGATGTTGTCGCAGATGGAATGCTGTGCGTCGAATGCGTTCGTGGTCACGATCTTCGACCGTGACCCATGTCTTTGTCGAGTCCACGGTGACTTCGACTTCAGCCTCTTCTGTGGTCTCGGATAGGTTTGAATCCCAGGAAAGCACGCTTTCAGAATCCAGGTCGGTTGCTGCACCCTCCGACGCTTCTGCGTCGTCATGCCCTTCCCAGACACCAGTGGCTGCCTCTTTGTCGGCTTCAGTCGTGTCATGCATCTGCTGCGACCGATTTGGCTCACATGGTGTTGCATCCGATTCTGCCGCAGTGGTGTGGCTGGTCCGCGGCTGTTGCCCGGATGACCCTGCTGTTGGCCGCTTGGCTTGCTTTGTGGCATCCTTTTGGAACATTACACTCTGATCTTCAAGGTGCGATGACTGACTATGCGGCAACACGGGTAGCACTTCCACTGGGTTTTGTAGGCTTTCGGCAGCAAGACACAGCACGGCTTCCGAACACTGTGTTCTCCAAGTTTCCAACCATGGTGTTTCAGGGAATGGTTCACGCAATGCTTCTGACCGTTGGAGGAGGTCATAGTGTCCTGTGACACCAATATTTCGGTGGAAAAGCTCTAAGACATTGGCATATTCCTGCAATCTCACTGCGGCTTCCGCATCAGTGATGTAGGCCATGTCATGAATCCAAATGTTTCTATCGTCCTCGTGGCTCCAAATGAGACAATGAAAGTCGAAGGCTTGGGTGAGTGCCCACAATTCAACCGCTGAGCCATGGTGGATGGCATCCAACATACGTGGCTTTTCTAAGACTGCAACCACTTTACTCCAAAGCACGGTGTCGGCCTCGGTCAAACCGTCTGTGACCTGCAACTGCCCAGCTTGCTCAAGGAACTTCTGGTGTAAGGCTGCTTCCCGGTCATCAAATGGCACGCTGGCAATTGCAACCTCATCTGCTCTGGGGCCATGTTTTTGGTTGCACATCCATTCTAAGGCCTGCAAGTATAACTTTGCAGCTTGGGGCACCGACCACGAATGCCAACCGCGACAATGGCGAAGGACGGCGTGGAAGAAACACCATCCGTCACCAGGGACTTTGATCAGCTCACACCCAAGTCGAGCCTGCACACGTACGTCCATTTCCAGGTCTTCCTCGCCCGCCACTTCTTTCTGCAAACTTGCTTTGCTCAGTTGTGCACCCTGCGAGGATGCGGCATCCACTGCGTCTGCAACTCGAGCTTTCTTCCTAGCTACGGGCTGGCTGCCGACACTTGCGTCCATGAAGTGGCTGGGTGTGGACCCTTCTGCTTTTCCGCTGTCGGCTTTCTTCATCGTGTTGCCATGCATTGCCCGCATCAACTGGTTTCTAAGTTTGCGAGAGGTTGACCATGCGTTTCTGACTGGTTGCACTGCTGCGATGTTTCCCTGGCAAACGCCTTCCACACAGACCCAACTGGCTGGTGATAACAAGAAGATGGCTGCAATCAACATTTGCATTCTACTTCGTGGCGATCCTGGTTGCCGCCTTGCTTTCACCCGAGCGTTGCCCACCCGACGTGCTTTCCTGACCCACCCACTGCGCAGGCGTGCACTGGCTAGAGCACGTTGCGCTTGGCATGCAAAGACACAGGTGAAGAGATTGACCGCAAACAGGAAATCTAGCTGCTTTGTGCTGGCACACAAGCATGCTGCGGTGACTGCCATGCCCCAGCTCAAAGATGTATCTTTCCCCGGCAACCTTCGTGTCCAGTGTGTGTGCTTGCTGGATCGGTTGCGCGGCCCCTTGCCACACGCAGCTGGCACTGACTGCCGCCGCACGCCATACGACTTCTTCATTTGGGAGGCAAGCCAGAACACCATGCTCAGTGCTATGCAGCAGACAGCTACCTTGGTAGCATGCTCACGCAGTATGTCACTGGCTACTGTGTCATGGCTGTCCGCTTTGGGACACTCGTGCATTCCGAATTCGTTGTCTGAGGTGGCGTGCTTCATTTCGTCCTTGCTACGTTGCTTGTACAAGCACACCTGCAAGTGTTCCACTCATTTTTTAGTTGTGCAATGCTCCTTTGCCGGGGTTTACTCTGTGCGTTGCATTTTCCCCGCTACTTCTTCTGTGTTTACCTTTATGTCTTTCTGCAGTGCTCCGGTTTTAGACTTCCTACGCCTACGTCTCCTACTTCCGTTCGTGGAGGGTGTGTGTGTGTGTGTTTACTTCTCTGTCGGCTTTCTTTGCTTAGCCTAGAGCCTTGTCGCAACGGCCGCGGAGAGACTGTGTGCCCTAATTTGTTTACCAGTGGCGGTGTTTGCTGTCCCCTGTTCAAAGTTTCGCCCCCTCTGTGTCTTTGAAGAACTTGCTGGGATGTTTGTTGAAGCTTCTTCAGTTCCAAACGAAAAAATATATATATATATTTTTTCATATATAGATCATTATAGATCTATATAAGTATATCGTTCAGTACTCTTGCAGTCACTTTCCTCCGGTCTCTCTTAAGCGAGCTGAGACAAACTAGCCAGGCCACCCGCAAACTTGCCGGGGTCGCCCCAGAGCACCTGTCACCATGTTTCAGCAGTCACGCGGTCAGTTTTCAGCAGTCATGCTAACGCAGTGCTGTTGCAGTCGCGTCGGTTCTGTACTCTTGCAGTCAGTTCCCTCCTGTCTCTCTTAAGCGAGCTTCGACAAACTAGCCGGGCCACCCGCAAACTTGCCGGAGTCGCCCCCAGAGGACCTGTCACCATGTTTCAGCAGTCACGCTATCAGTTTTCAGCAGTCATCCTAATGCAGTGCTGCTGCAGTCGCGTCCGTTCTGTACTCTGGCAGTCAGTTCCCTCCAGTCTCTCTTAAGCGAGCCGTTACTCATCGCAAACATGTCGGAGAAACGAGCACTTGCGGGCTCCAAACATGCTGGCTGACCACAAACATGCCATCGCAAACATGTCGGAGACACGCGCCACTGCGGACTCCAAACATGCTGGCTTACCACAAACATGCCAGGCCGCCAGCAAACACGCCGGACTCGCCTTCGAACTCCTGTCACCAAAACGCAAGAAGTCTGAATGCGACCGTCTGCAAAAAGCACACTGCCGACCTACAGCTTGGAACCACAGGTTGCTTACAGGCATGTTCTCGATCAAACACGAAAAACCGGGGAAACCAAAGCCACAAAAAAAGGGGGATGGCTGGATGTTGAATGAACGCGGGCTGCTGTGAGCCTGATGTAGAGCTGCAGCTTGGGAAAAAAGACTCCTTGCAGTAACGACTTCTGAACCTAAAAGACTGCATCGGTTGTCGAAGAAGCCACCAATTTTACCGTCCATAAGCTATCCACAAACTAGCAACAAAGCACCGATCCCTTAATTTACTCCCTCCCAAGCACCGCCGTTCCAGCCGGCACGACACCTACCTCGATGTCGTGTTCGACTACGCTGCACTGTAGCGACCGGCCACGCCGCGCCTTTCTTCACCAAGCTGCAGCCCTAAACCACCGCCGCTGCCAGCGCTGAGCGCTGCTCTGCGCTCGCTCCCGCCCTGTACGCGTCAGACAGACGCAGACATGGCCGTGGTTTCCGAATGCCTTTGATCGTCTCTAACCACACTAAACACTGATAACCAATAAGGTTGCAAACGGGGATGCTGCCATGTATGGTTAACAAGCATGTTGGCTACCCATCACTGCCCCTCGTAACTCTGTACCCCTCCACTTGCTAACTTCTACCCATCCAACGTTGTTGCCTCGGTGAAAACATATGCTAGACCATTGCAATCATAACAAACTAAACCAGTCCCAAATTTACCATAACTGGCTGGTATACGGTATAAGTCCAAACATAGGTGGTTCCTTAGTTTCATACATGTTCGTGCGCAGCTGCGCGCTGCTTTGGTGATACTAACGTCCGAAGGCACAGACAACGTCATCTTCACACTAGAAATGTTTCTTCATATCCCACCCTTCTGGTGTTACCAGACTCTGCAAGCATAGAAAACAACAATCCTCAGCTTGGAAATCTTTCTATGCTCGATGCTGGTTCCGAGTCCAAGCAGGAGATCCATCCCATCAACGCAACACTCTTGCGGGATGTGCTGACACATTTCTGGCAACAAATTGACATTTTGCATCCTTCTGGCTGCCCATCAGAGAAGTGGGGGCACATGGTCCCAGGGTTTGACCTCACCGACATGCGGCTACGGTTTGCACACCGCAATGTGTCTCACGTTTTTCGGCAACCGCCCCACAATGGCTACACACTCACCGAGCTTGTGCACAACTTTCTTCGTGGCGATGCGAAGCCAAAAAAAAAACTCCAACAGCGGCTCTTCTTGTTTCAGACGGCTCTCCCGACTTCGGTGCACCTAGGGTACGCCCGGGCTGTCAGCCCCCTTCCACCGAAGGATGCTGCCGGGACGCCCGAAGTCCCGGACCCCGTCTTCCACCCGACTGTTGTCCTATCCCCCGCGTTGCCTGCAACGTAGCGTCAACAACGACAACAACAACAACAACAACACCGACAACAACAACGACGACAACAACAACAACAACAAAAAAAAACACGACCACGACAACAACGACAACAACAACAACAGCGACAACAACAACCACAACAACAACAACAACACCGACAACAACAACGACGACAACAACAACAACAAAAAAAACACGACCACGACAACAACGACAACAACAACAACAACAGCGACAACAACAACCACAACAACAACAACAACAACAACAACAACAACAACAACAACAACAACAACACAACAACAACAACAACAGCAACAACAACAACAACAACAACAACCACAGCAACAGCAACAGCAACAGCAACAACAACAACGACAACGACAACAACCACCACCACCACCACAACAACAACAACACCACCAACGCCCGCTCGGGCTGACGGGTCTGCTTTTGCCGGCGCCCGGCTGTCAGGCGTAAGCCTCATAAATCCGGGCGCCGGCCCCGGGCCGCGGCCCGTGGCATTGCCGGAGGCCTTCGGTGGTAACCGAAGGTTATATACGCTGGCCGCCCCTGCCGCCGACCCACCCCCGGTTCACGATTATCGTTGTAATTTACAGTGTATTCTGCGTGTGGTGTTCAAAAAACATCGTTTTTTACAGGGTTTCGGGCCCCTCGGTGGCGCAGAATTGCACCGTGGCGATGTTAAAAAATGTGGGTTTTTCCATAGTTTTTGCTTTGAGGGGCGGAAAAAATCGCAAAAATTTGTCTCTGCAGATGTTCTTGACGGCCTTGGTGCCAACATAGGGACAACATCGGCCAAGATGTGGGCTACATGGGTCAACATAAGGCTAAGATAGGGGCAAGCCTGCGCCAACATAGGGCCAACATAGGCCCAAGATGGCCCCAAGATGGCCCCAAGATGGCCCAACATAGGCCCAACATGGCTCCAAGATGGCCCAAGACGGCCCAACATAGGCCCAAGATGGCCCCAAGATGGCCCAAAATGGGCCCAACATGGCCCCAAGATGGCCCAACATAGGCCCAACATGGCCCCAAGATCGCCCAACATGACCCCAAGATGGCTCAACATAGCTCCAAGATGGCCCAACTTAGCTCCAACTTGATGCAAAAGACAACAACATCAACCACATCAACCACATCGACAACATCAACGACGCCAACAACATCAACAACAACATCAACAACAACATCACCAACAACATCATCGACGACGACGACAACAACAACAACAACAACAACAACAACAACAACAACAACAACCACCACAACAACCACAACAACAACAACAACGACGACAACGACAACGACAACGACAACCACAACAACCACAACAACAACAACCACAACAACAACAACGACGACGACAACGACAACGACAACGACAACCACAACAACCACAACAACAACAACAACAACCACAACAACAACAACAACAACCTAGGGCCAAGACAGGGGCAAACCTGCGCCCAAATAGGGCCAACATCGGCCAACAACAACAACAACAACCACAACAACCACAACAACAACAACAACAACGACAACGACAACGACAACCACAACAACAACCACAACCACAACAACAACAACAACAACAACAACAACAACAACAACAACAACCTAGGGCCAAGACAGGGGCAAACCTGCGCCCAAATAGGGCCAACATCGGCCAACAACAACAACAACAACAACACCAACAACAACAACAACAACAACAACAACAACAACAACAACAACAAAAACAACAACAAAAAACAACGACGGTCACGACAACAACAACAACAACAACAGCAACAACAACAACAACAACAACAACACCAGAACATGGACATGGATTACACCCAACGCATACCTTCCACGGGTCTGCTTTGGCCGGCGCCCGGCTGTCAGGCGTAAGCCTCATAAATCCGGCCAGGGGCCCCCTGGCCGTGTCCTTGCCGAAGGCGTTTCTCTCCTCTCCGTAGGAGAGAGGGGCCGCCGCCCCTGCCGGAGACACCTTTGCCCGCCAAAAACTGTCGCGTTTTACGGTGTTTTGTGCTCTTTGCATTTTTTCCCATTTTTCGGATCTGGTGGTTTAAGATGGGTCAACATGGGCCAAGATAGGCCTCAAGATGGGCCAACATAGCCCCAAGATGGGCCAACATAGCCCCCAAGATGGGCCAACATAGCCCCAAGATGGGCCAACATAGCCCCAAGATGGGCCAACATAGCCCCAAGATGGGCCAACATAGCCCCAAGATGGGCCCACATTGCCCTCAAGATAGGCCAACGTAGCCCCAAGATGGGCCAACATAGCCCCAAGATAGGCCGCCGACCATCAAAATATCCTGCGTTTTACAGTGTTTTTTTTGCTGTTCCCATTTTTCGGATCTTTTGGCTCAACATGAATCAACATGAGGCCAACATAGCCACAAGCTGGGCCCACATTGCCCGCAAGATAGGCCAACATAGGCCAACATAGGCCAGCATAGCCACAAAATGGGCCTACATAGTTGGGCCCCTGGCCGGCTGTCGCGCGTAAGCGCTTAAATCCGGGCGCCGGCCCCGCGCCCGTGTCCTCGCCGGAGGCCTTCGGTGGTAACCGAAGGTTATATACGCTCGCCCCCCCTGCCGCCGACCCACCTCGGGTCAATTCCGCCCCACGATTATCGTTGTAATTTACAGTGTATTCTGCGTGTGGTGTTCAAAAAATATCGTTTTTTACAGGGTTTCGGGCCCCTCGGCGGCGCAGAATTGCACCTTGGCGATGTTAAAAACTGTGGGTTTTTCCATAGTTTTTGCTTTGAGGGGCGGAAAAAATTGTAAAAAGTTGTCTCTGAAGATGTTTTCAACATAAACGGCCCAACATCTGACCAACATAGGCCCAAGATCGCCCACCTATCCTCCAGCTCTGCCCAACATAGCCTCCAAGCTGGCCCAACATAGGGCCAACATAGGGAAACCTAGGCCCAACAGAGGCCAACATAGGCCCAACATAGGCGCAACCTAGGCCCAACAGAGGCCAACATAGGCCCAACATAGGCGCAACCTCGGCCAACATAGGCCAACATAGGCCAACATAGGCCCAAGATGGCCCAACATAGGGCCAACGTGGGCCCAACAAAGACCCAAGCTGGGCCCAAGATGGGCCCAACATAGCCCAACATGGGCCCAACATGGGCCCAAGATGGCTCAACATGGCCCGACTTGGCACAACATAAGCCCACGATGGGCTCATGATGGCTTGACATGGCATGACATAAGCCTACGCTGGGCGCAAGATGGCTCAGCATGGGCCCGACGACAACGACGACGACGACAGCCACAACAACAACAACAACAACAACAACAACAACAACAACCACAACAACAACAACAACAACAACAGCAAGAAGAACAAAACCAACCACAACACCAACAACCACAACAACAACAACCACAACAAACACAACCACAGCAGCAGCAACAACAACTACCACAACAACAACACCGACAACAACAACAACAACAACAACAACAGGAAGAAGAAGAAGAAGAACAATAACACGAAGAACAACAACTACCACAACACCACCAATAACAACAACAACAACAACAACAACGACAACAACAACAAGAACAACAACAACAACAGCAGCAACAACGACGGCAACGACACCAACAAGAACAACAACAACCACGACGACAACATCGACGACGACGCCAAGGACGCCAAGGACGACCACAACAACTACGACAACAACAAGGACAACACCACCACCAACAACAACAACAACAACAACAGCCGGCCCCGCGCCCGTGTCCTCGCCGGAGGCCTTCGGTGGTAACTGTTGGCTACCCATCACTGCCTCTCGTCACTCTGTACCCGTCCACTTGCTAACTTCTACTCATCCAACGGTGTTGCCTCGGTGAAAACACTTGAAACAACGCACCGTCTCCGGCGAACCGACTATATGCTAAACCATTGCAATCATAACAAACTGAACCAGTCCCAAATTTACCATCACTGGCTGGTCTACGGTATAAGTCCAGACGGCTCTCCCGACTTCGGTGCACCTACGGTACACCCGGGCTGTCAGCCCCCTTCCAACGAAGGATGCTACCGGGACGCCCGAAGTCCCGGCCCCCGTCTTCCACACGACTGTTGTCCTATCCCCCGCGTTGCCTGCAACGTAGCGTCTACAGCAACAACAACAACAACAACAACAACGACAACAGCAACAACAACAACAACAACGACGACAACAACAACAACAACAGCAACAGCGACAACGACAACGACAACAACGACAACAACAACAACGACAACAACAACAACAACAACGACAACAACAACACCACCAACAACACCAGAACATGGACATGGATTACACCCGATGCATGGGTCTGCTTTGGCCGGCGCCCGGCTGTCAGGCGTAAGCCTCATATCCGGGCGCCGGCCCCGCGCCCGTGTCCTCGCCGGAGGCCTTCGGTGGTAACCGAAGGTTATATACGCTCGCGCCCCCTGCCGCCGACCACCTCGTACTTATTACCTGGTGTCGACCCCGTGTCGATTCCGGTTCACCCCCGACCCACGATTATACGTGTAATTTACAGTGTATTCTGCGGGTGGTGTTCAAAAAACATCGTTTTTTACAGGGTTTCGGGCCCCTCGGCGGCGCAAAAATTGCACCTTGGCGATGTTAAAAAATGTGGGTTTTTCCATAGTTTTGGCTTTGAGGGGCGGAAAAAATCGCAAAAATTTGTCTCTGCAGATGTTCTTGACGGCCTTGGTGCCAACATAGGGCCAACATCGGCCAAGATGTGGGCTACATGGGTCAACATAAGGCTAAGATAGGGGCAAGCCTGCGCCAACATAGGGCCAACATAGGCCCAAGATGGCCCCAAGATGGCCCCAAGATGGCCCAACATAGGCCCAACATGGCTCCAAGATGGCCCAAGACGGCCCAACATAGGCCCAAGATGGCCCCAAGATGGCCCAACATGGGCCCAACATGGCCCCAAGATGGCCCAACATAGGCCCAACATGGCCCCAAGATCGCCCAACATGACCCCAAGATGGCTCAACATAGGTCCAAGATGGCCCAACTTAGCTCCAACTTGATGCAAAAGACAACAACATCAACCACATCAACCACATCGACAAACATCCAACAACATCAACAACAACATCAACAACAACATCACCAACAACATCATCATCGACAACAACAACAACAACAACAACAACAACAACAACCAACAACAACAACAACAACAACAACAACAACAACAACAACAACAACAACAACAACAACAACAACCACAACAACCACAACAACAACAAACAACAACAACAACACAACAAAACAACAACAACAACAACAACAACAACAACCTAGGGCCAAGACAGGGGCAAACCTGCGCCCAAATAGGGCCAACATCGGCCAACAACAACCACAACAACAACAACAACCACAACAACCACAACAACAACAACAACGAGAACGACAACGACAACGACAACCACAACAACAACCACAACCACAACAACAACAACAACAACAACAACAACAACAACAACAACAACAACAACAACAACAACAACCTAGGGCCAAGACAGGGGCAAACCTGCGCCCAAATAGGGCCAACATCGGCCAACAACAACAACAACAACAAAAAACAACGACGACCACGACAACAACAACAACAACAGCAACAACAACAACAACAACAGCAACAACAACAACAACAACACCAGAACATGGACATGGATTCCACCCAACGCATACCTTCCACGGGTCTGCTTTGGCCGGCGCCCGGCTGTCAGGCGTAAGCCTCATAAATCCGGCCAGGGGCCCCCTGGCCGTGGCATAGCCGAAGGCGGTTCTCTCCTCTCCGTAGGAGAGAGGGGCCGCCCCAGCCGCAGACCACCCGGTAGGGCCAAAATATCCTGCGTTTTACAGGGTATTTTGCTCTTCCGTTTTTTCCGCCTTTTTTGGAGCCTGTGACTCAAGGTGGGTCAACATGGGGCAACATAGCCCCCAAGATGGGACAACATAACCCCCAAAATGGGCCAACATAGCCCCAAGATGGGCCAACATAGCCCCAAGATGGGCCAACACAGCCCCAAGATGGGCCAACATAGCCCCATCATAGCTCCAAGATGGGCCAACATGGCCCCAAGATGGGCCAACATAGCCCCAACATGGGCCGACATAACCTCAAGCTGGAGCAACATAGCCCCCAAGATGTGCCAACATAGCCCCAAGATATGCCCACAGACTACAAACAACCGACCAGCAACACCGACCCACCAACCCCAAACCTCAAAGCACAACCGAGCGCCGCAACCATCTTACTTCACAGACCAGCAACACCCAACACCGACCTACCAACTGGAAAGCACAAACCCCAAACCCGACCGCACAAACCCCGACCGGCCAACCCCTACCCCGCTTGCACAAAGGACGCGAAAACGACTGCGATGGGACCTGCAACCAGCTTACTTCACAAACCAGCAACACCCAACACCGACCTACCAACTCGAAAGCACAAACCCCAAACCCGACAGCACAAACGCCGACCGGCCAACCCCAACCCCGCTTGCACAAAGGACTCGAAAACGATTGCGATGGGCCCTACCCCAACCAATCAATTCCATACGTGCAAGCACTAACCACGACCGATCCACCCCAAACCTTCCAGCACAAACCACGCCCAACCAACCCCAACCCACCAACCCCAAATCCTCCAGCGCAAACTGCGCCCGACCAACCCCAACCCACCAACCCCAATCCTAAAAGCCCAAAGCAACACTGACCAACCCCAACCCACTAACCCCAAACCTTCACGCACAAACCACGACCGACCAACCCCAGCCCACCAACCCCAAAGCACAAACCACCACTGACCTACCACTGACCAACCTCACTGACCTACCACAACCCATCCCGACATAACCTCAAGCTGGAGCAACATAGCCCCCAAGATGTGCCAACATAGCCCCAAGATATGCCCACAGACTACAAACAACCGACCAGCAACACCGACCCACCAACCCCAAACCTCAAAGCACAACCGAGCGCCGCAACCATCTTACTTCACAGACCAGCAACACCCAACACCGACCTACCAACTGGAAAGCACAAACCCCAAACCCGACCGCACAAACCCCGACCGGCCAACCCCTACCCCGCTTGCACAAAGGACGCGAAAACGACTGCGATGGGACCTGCAACCAGCTTACTTCACAAACCTGCAACACCCAACACCGACCTACCAACTCGAAAGCACAAACCCCAAACCCGACAGCACAAACGCCGACCGGCCAACCCCAACCCCGCTTGCACAAAGGACTCGAAAACGATTGCGATGGGCCCTACCCCAACCAATCAATTCCATACGTGCAAGCACTAACCACGACCGATCCACCCCAAACCTTCCAGCACAAACCACGCCCAACCAACCCCAACCCACCAACCCCAAATCCTCCAGCGCAAACTGCGCCCGACCAACCCCAACCCACCAACCCCAATCCTAAAAGCCCAAAGCAACACTGACCAACCCCAACCCACTAACCCCAAACCTTCACGCACAAACCACGACCGACCAACCCCAGCCCACCAACCCCAAAGCACAAACCACCACTGACCTACCACTGACCAACCTCACTGACCTACCACAACCCATCCCAACCCACCAAGCACAAACCCAACAGCACAAACCACCACTGACCACCAACCCATAGCCCAGAGAAGGGCCAACATAGCCCCAACGTGGCCCAACGTAGCTCCAAGATCGGACAACATAGCTCCAAGATAGGCCACCGCGCACAAACCACGACCGACTGATCCCAACCCACTACGTCCAAACCTCAAGGCACTACTCACCACTGACCAACCCCAACCAACCAACCCCAAACCTTGCAGCACAAACCCCGACCAACCAACCCCAACCCACCAACCCCAAACCCAAAAGCACATCCCACCACTGACCCTCTCAACCCACCAACCCCAAACCCTCCAGCACAGACCACGACCGACCAACCCCAACCCACCAACCCCAAACCCAAAAGCAGCTGGGGCAACATAGCTTCTTCGATGGACCAACAGAGCCCCAAGACGGGCCAATATAGCGTCACGCTGGGCCTACATAACCTCAAGCCGGCGCAACGACAACGACAACGACAACAACGACAACCACAACAACGACGACAACGACGACAACCTCACCTCGAACCACAACCAGAACGACAACAACAACAACAACAACAACAAGAACAACAACAACCACAACAACAAGAACGACAACTCCTGTGTCGCTGCAACCATTGGTTGCAGGCTCCGGGCTCTTGCCCTTAGCTATTCCTTGCCTGGCCTGTCGCCTTTCTCGCCGTCCAACGAAAATAGTTGGTTGCACTTGTGTCTGGCATCGGCCGTCTTCGGCGCCTTGGCAGCCCACGCCGCTGTCTGGGGTTCTACATATGTCCCATGTGCACCTGCTATCCACCTGCCCAGCCTTTTGGTCGCCTGAGCCGATGCAGACAAGATATATTTGTCTTAGTGCCCATTCTGTCCGGTATTGCCCCCTGACTGTTTCCACCCAGCCGCTGGCCTAGACCATAGCCTCTGCAGGGTTTGCACGCCAGGAAATCCTGCCGGCGGGTGTCCGGTGCGGTGCCAGGAAACAGTGACGGTCTTAGCCGCTGGGCTCCCCGCGGAAAAAAAAAAGACGAAACCAAAGGTGATCTTATCCAGAAGCTCTTTCTTCGGGTTGTTGTTTCTCTGACCCTGAAAGTGGTTTTGCCCGAGCCGGACCCGTGGCCTGCATCCAGCGTCCCACGAGGTCGTCTCGCGCCAGCGCCTGGCGTCAACGCGGCGGCGGCAGGGACTGGCGACAGGCGACGGAACCGGCTGCCGCTTCACCTGGTTGAGGTTGGGTCCGAACACGTTGTCCTCCACTGGCCGCGGCGTGACCTGGCAGGAACGCCGTCTCCAACTACTACTTCTGGCTAAGCTTGCATGCCTCAGTAACAGTTGTTATTTCATAGTTGAGTTACGTCAATGAGAGTAAAATGACAGTAAATGAGAGTAAATGACTTTCCCGGTCCTGCTCAACAGACTGCGGCATTTCAAGTGAGTTTGCCCTACCGTGACGGCTGCGAAAACCACCCCCTCGCGACCGACATGCCTGCCCTTTTTTTTTCCCGAACCGCGTGTCTTTGACGCTTGGAGTCTGGATGCGATTCCTGGCTAGCGAGGCTGCATCCTGAGCAACGCTCTAGCGTGTCCCTGGGCAAAGCCCTGGGTGCAGCTCGTGTGCTGTTGGGCGATTCAAGATGGATGCGTGTCACATGTCGGTACCGGTGCTCGTTGTCATTTTATTGTTGAGTTAAGTACATGCTAGGAAATGATCGTCAATGAAGTTCAAGGTCTGGCTAGACAGACTGCTGCATTTCAAGTGAGTTTGCCCTACCGTGGTGGCTGCGAAAATCACCCCCTTGCTACCGGCATGCCTGCTTTTTTTTTCCCCCGAACCGCGTGTCTTTGACGCTCGGCGTCTGGGTGTCGAAACCAAACTGCAGGACGGGACAGCCGAGCCCTTGTTTTGGGCTAGGTTGGTTGCGAGGCTGATGGGTCAAGACCTTTACGTGCTTTCAATGCAGGTCTACACAGGCAAGGTGCACGGTTCGAGATCTGAAAGTGCGACAAAACCAAACCGCGGCGTGAGCAACGCTCTCGCACTCCCCTGGGCAACGCCCTGGTTGCAGCCGGTTGTCTGAACTCTCTTTGAAGCACGCAACAAAACGCATGGCTATTTGGAAAATGACCGGTCTGTGAATGCTTTCGGGATAGGTGTCGAATCATCGCTGCCTTGGGGTTTTGCGGGACTATACAAAGAAATGTTCTGAACTGGCGTGGGATTGTCGTGGATTCTGAAAAAGGTGGCAGCAAAAATGGTTCCTCTCGGCCTGTTCGCAAAATGGCTGATCTCTGTGATTTGGTGAACCAATGGTTCATCGCTGCCTTGGAGTTTTGCGGGACTATACAAAGAAAGGTTCTGAACTGGCTTGGGATTGTCGTGGATTCTGAAAAAGGTGGCAGCAAAAATGGTTCCTCTCGGCCTGTTCGTCGTGGGACTCTGCGTGGAGGTTTTGCGGGACTATACAAAGAAATGTTCTGAACTGGCTTGGGATTGTCGTGGATTCTGAAAAAGGTGGCAGCAAAAGTGGTTCCTCTCGGCCTGTTCGTCGTGGGACTATGCGTGGATATTGCAAGCAGTGGCTGACAAAATGGCTGATTTCTGTCATTTGGTGAACCAATGGTTCATCGCTGCCTTGGGGGTTTGGGGCTATACAAGGAAATGTTCTGAACTGGCTTGGGATTGTCGTGGATTTTGAAAAAGGTGCATGGCAGCAAAAATGGTTCCTCTCGGCCAGTTTGTCGTGGGACTATGCCGGGGGAGATTATTGGCTTCGTGGGACTATGCCGGGGGAGATTATGAACTGGCTTGGGGTGGTAGTGGATTCTGCACATGGCCATGAAAGGTTGGCCCAAATATATTGCAAGTTGAGAATGCAACACAGTGGCGTCCTAAAGCCAAGCATTTCGCAACAAGTGGCTGAAAAAATGGTCGCAAGGCCGCGGCGTGAGCAACGCTCTCGCACTCCCCTGGGCAACGCCCTGGTTGCAGCCGGTTGTAAGAACTATCTTGGAAGCACCCAACAAAACGCATGGCTATTTGGGATATGACCGGTATGCGAATACTTTCGGCTTAGGTGTCGGGCAGCACGGTCTCTGGGACAGGTGCCGGCAAGGAGCTCTCCAAGTTGGCGCTGGCGACGCCTCGTTTCCTTTTCCGTGGTTGACACAACAAAACTGCAGGCTGGGAAACTGAGCTGTCATCGGGTGGTTTTGGCACGGCGTCCGCGACAGCTGGCCGAAGTGCGGGTGTGGTCTGAGCTGGCGTGGCGCACGGCGCCGTGCCGGTGGGCCTGCTCTGCGCTTTTCTTCGCTTGGGCTGGCTACAGGGAGCCGCCGGACTGGCACTGTCATCAGGCGGTTCCGCCGGCGGCGGCAACGGTGGCAAGGTGTCTGCTTCCTCGGCCTTTTGGATCTTACGGCGTTTGGCCGGTCCCGTGTCGGATACGTAGCAGGTCTGGCACGTCCACTCTGGCTTGAATTTGGCATGATCGGCTGCGTGGGTGCTCGGACGCGGTCGACCACACCCAGCTGCACATGGCGGAAAGGCGCACCCGTGGCACCAGCCGTGTGAATGCGGGCGGCCGACCATTGGCTGTTTGCATTTGGCGCACTTGGGACCCCGTTCCGCACACTGTGGGCACGCGGCGTCGGGTCCGCCGCCGGCGTCTTGACCCAAGGGATTGGCTTGGCACATCGGACAGCTTGCTTGGGCGCACTTGTCGCATCGCCAAAAGGGGCGATGCTTGGCATGGTACGCGTGGTCCCCGCCGGGCCTAGCTACTTGTTGGCAACCTGCACACGGTGGATAGGCACAGCTTTGACACCACGTGCCTGGCTGCGAACCCGGTTTCAGGCGTTTGTGGCACTGTGGACATACTGTACAGGCTGGGCACACCCAAATTGGTTTGTGCTTGGCGTGGTACGGGCCTTTGTGTGGCCGATTAACTTTGTGGCAAACTGCACACGGTGGAAAGGCACAGCTCTGACACCACGAGCCTGGCGTCGCTGTTGGTTTCAAGGGTGTGCTGCACTGTGGGCAGACCTTGGCGGTCGCTGCCTCCAAGTCGGTGGCCTTGCGCCAACACTTGCGACAAATGCCGTCGTTGGCCTTGGAGTCATACTGGTGCAAGTGGGACACACTGACAACGTTCCGACACGTGCGGCACTGCCCGGCCTTGGCTTTGCCTTTGTTGGGTTGGTGCAGCTCGCACTTCTTGCAGCGGGCTTTCCGTATCTCCCGGGTCTCCCGGCGCCGCTGAATTTCTGCGGGGCTGAAATCCGCCAAGGTCTTGGGTTTGAGTTTTCGACCCACGTCACAGCAGGCACAGGCCAATCTTGCTTCCGACAGGCATTTCTTGCAAAAGCCGAGTTTCGGAAGTGGGGTTTTGTTACAAAATGCACACTTGCTGGAGGCGTCGGCTTCGGCGCTGGTGGGGTTTCCGGACGGCTGTGGGTGGCGGCACTGGCTGCACAAGCGTTCCATGCCGAGACACACAATCTCCAACCAAGCATCCGGCTGCCACAAATTGTTACTGGTGAAGTCACGCAACGGCAGGAGGCCGTGCTCGCCTTTGGCTTTCGGGGTGCACCCGCGACAAAAGAAAAGGGTCTCCGGATTGCGCTTCCGTTGTACGTGCTCCTGCTCAAACTTGCTCTTGGCATCCGCCAGGGTCAGGGTCTGCCGATGTACTGCGAGGAACGTATCGGGGCCTATTAGTTCACCTTGGCTTAGAAGATTAGGGGAAAAGGGACGGGCTATGCAGAGGTCTTCTGCTTTTTTAACTCGGGACAGACACATGTATGCACTGAGCTGCGAGTCCCGGTTTGCCGCCGTGTCCCAAAATCCTAAGTCTAAACTGCAGGCAGCTAATGTGGCCCCCATAAACGAATGCGCCGTGCCGGCATAATCGCAGGCCAGCGGAAAACCTCGTCTGGCGACCGTGGCGGTGCCGTGAGCTTCGAGCTTCCAATGTTGCACCACCGGGCGAATGCAAGCGACCCCCGGTGGAAGACCTGGGCGGTGCTGCCAGGTTGCACCGGGGATGGCGACAAAGAGGCACGCCGGCATTTTTTGGAGGACAAGCTCCGGCTGCTGGCAGACCGGGATTGCCGCAATGTCTTCCTCCGCCAGGCTCCACCCAAATAACTGTCCGCGGGTGTTCTTGAACAAGCCCCAAGGTTTCAGTTCGGGCAAGGTCTGGGTGATGCGCACGGGCATGCCCGGCAAAAGTGGCAAGAGGCCCATTATCCCTGCTGTCGCCTGGTCATGTCGCTGAAGCCATTGTTCTTTTCGGTGCTGAAGCTCTTGGTCCGCCGTGTCAGGGTCGGTGTGGAAGAGCGGCGTGTCCTGCGCCACGACCCAGAGCAAGAGATGCTGTTGCTCGGCCGCCACCCACCGGGCCCGCAGCAGTGCTGCAACGTACTTGGCAGCATTCAGCCCATGCACAAACGGTGCCTGCAAAAATTTGCTGTCTTTTGGATTGGGCCCAAAGTCGGATGCTCCGGCAACGATGCAGCGCCGCCGGCGTTCGGTCGCGCAGACATTGCATTCTGCTTGGCGCCGATCCTGCCAGGTTCTTGTGTTTTTCGGATCCAACACTTCCTTGGTCCACTGCCTGGCCAAAGCATTGCAGGCCGGCTTTTTGCAAGAGCACTTGTTAGTGTGGGGGTCCCACGAGCCGGCATGCAGGGTCGGGAAGCCGTGAAGAAACGCCCACTGCTCTTGAGTCACAGCTCCATGTCGGGCGGCATGCAGAATTGCACTTAACCAAGGATCGACACAACGATGTTCTTGGGTGAGTTCGAACAGGTGTTGTATGTTCGCTTTGTCATGCGTCCATAAGACTTTCTGTAGGTTTGCTACTTGAACGCTTTGTCCGTGCTTGAAGGGGTTATGGAAGATGGACGTGGCTTTCACGGCAGGGAATTGCCAGCAGTCGCCGGCCAGCAGAATGTTGATGCCGGCAAAGGGCCGGGGCGTGCCGGTGGAGCGGCATTTCCACGAATGCCTGGCACGGACCGCTTCTTGCAAGCGTTTTTCTAACACGGCCAGTACTTCCAAGGCTGATGTGCTGCATTCGTCGATGATAAGCCAGCGTAGATGTTGGTACTTGACGAAGTGGTCTGGTCCAAAAGCCGTCTCCTTTTTCTGCTTCTTGCCTTGCACGCGGATATCCGCGAAGGAGTGAATGGTGATTCCATCTATCAGGGCCGCTTGCGTGTTCTGCGGGGCTACGAAGGCAAACTCGTGCAAGTGCTGCCAATCGCAGACCGTTTCGAAAAACGTGCGCAGCCAGTGCAAGGTTTGGGATTTCCCTGCGCCTGGCACTCCATGCAAGATTGCTCGAAATGGTTCTGATCGATTCTGCTTGTCGGCCCTTTCCTCGACCGCTTCGGCGTGGCACCTTTCCACCACGGCTGTAAGAACTTGCTTTTGTTGTGGGTTGGGGGCTGGCGTCATCCCGGGCCGGTTCAAAGCTTGCAACCACGTCCGGGCCGCGTCCAACCTGAAGGTCCCGTAGTTCGTGGCCACCGGGCGTGGCGGTTGCGTTTGTCGGGCGAAGGGATCTGTGCCAGCTGCCCCGGTTGCTGGTGCTGGGCCGGGGTCTGGCAGGCCGGTCGAGAACTGCCGCGGCCCTTGGTTGCTCGTGCTAGTCTGCGGTGCTGTCCAGTCGTGCACAAGACTCTGGACGGTCTGGGCCGACCGTTTGGAGTATTGGAACCCTTCTCCGGCAGTCAGGCGTTGCACGGTCGTCATGTCAACCCAGCTTGTGTCAACTTCCCTGTCCGGCTTTGTGCCTGCCTCGACGGTTGCTTCCTCGACGTCCTCCGGCGAACACTCTGCGGCAGCCAAGAAATTTGAGATGGTGCGGGCGGCATTTGCAGACACGATGTGGTGGCGAATGTAATCTTTCCATGCCGTGTAATGACTGCGGCACCCCACCGACGTTTTTCCGACACACCGATGGGAAGGCTTCTTTTGGCGATCAGTGATGGGGATGTCCAAGGCTTGAATATGTGGCACATGCAACGTGGCGTCGTCACCGGCCAAAGTCCATGGGCGGAGATAGATGTTCAGCAGGCGGGCTTGATGGTCTTTGCTCATATCAACTTTCGGTAAGGGGCAAGACGTTGGGTATGGCACCAGTGGCACCGCCCGGCGGCAGAAATAGTGGTCTGCATATGGTGCCGTGTTGGCCCGGCGGGGTACGGGCACAATATGCTCAGAGTTGTGGCCGAGAGGTGTCTTCCAAGTGAAATCTCGCCCAAATTGCCATCCATCAGCGGGCTCAGGGCCGTCGCCGCATCCTGGGAGCCAGGCACTGAGATCGCTGCGGTGTTTCTGGGGCGGCTGCAGACGTCGCACGTCCCAAAGTGCAGTGAATTCCCAAGGGCTTAGATATTTGAGCCGTGGATCAGAGCCGCGCCACCCATAGAGCTCGCTGGCTCCCAGTTGGACCTGTCTCTGGTGACTTGGTTTGACCCGATGTCGCACTTCTGTGGTTTTGTCGTACTGGGCTACCCATGCACTGCCGACAAAGGGAATGACGGCAAAGGAGCGAATGCACTCGGCTGACGTGGGTTCGTCGCCGTCCCAGAAACCGGCCAACATGACTTCTTCCGTCAGGGGGCGGACGGAACAGCGAAATTCCAAGTCACCGCACACTCGATGCAACACTTTTCGGTAGTGCTTGGCTTCCGCGCCCTTCTCGGGGGTAATGTCGAGATATGACAGGTGCTTGGCGGCTTGTTGCAGCTCCTTCCGACCCAATGGCTGGGGTTTTTGCAAATATCCTGTGAAGTATTGCGTCGCTTTTCTCGCGGCATGCTGCATCAGCCGCATCAGCCGCTGGAGCCGCTGCAAGGTGGTGGTTTCCAAGCAGCTGCGCTCACATGCCGGGTCGTGGGTCTCCGGCAAGAGCGGGATGCGGAAATTGATGCCGGTATGGCTGTTGCCCATGAACATCAGGGTAAATGCATGCATAGTGCCTGACAGCCATTGGTTGTCACGTGGATTGAGGACGCAGCCAAGTGCATTTCGTCTTCCAGCCGTACTCTGACGAAATTTGCGAGCATTCCCCCGGCACACGACGCGCGCCACGTCGCAGATGGTTTTTGGAAAGCCATGCTTGCATTTGTTTGGCGCGTCCTTCTTTTGGCAAGCAGGCAGCGGCACGTGGCACTTGTGCTTGGCATCCCACGTGTGCATATGGTGTTGCTGGTGTGAGAGCTTCACTTGCACTGCTGTCTGGTAGAGTTGCCGGTATTGAATGGCGTCCGTCTGCAAGGTCTGTGGGTTCGCTGCGGCAGTCGGGGCAGCTGCGTTCGGCGATTCGGCGGCATGGGCCGGCGATGAGCAACGCTCTACGCGGAGCGGCCCGCCGTCGGCAACCCGTGGCAGCCACGGCGAAGGCGTGGTGTCTGCGGCAACAAAAGCTGGCCAAAGGCATAACTTGTCATGCTCTGTTCCAGGGAAGTTTTGCATCCATTGTTTCTCCAACGCTGGAAAGAGGGCTTCATGCTGTTCGAGGTTGAAGTGGCTTTCATTGTGCAGCCAGGCTTGGTACCGAAACAGTTCCTCCAAGGTAACAGCTTTAGCTTGTATTTTTTGGGCTAATTTTTTCAGGGGCTGTTGCCACACCGTGGCGACGTACACATTGGCATGAAAATGGGGGTTGCTGTTTTTTTGATACTCTATGGCTCCGCAGAATCCAAGCACCAGGCCAAGAATGCCTCCCATAGGATGTGTCGACTGTCCGAGGGCATCGCGACAGCTGCAATTGGGGCAGCGGAAGCACATGCGAATACCCAGAAGCTCCGCAAACACAAAACGAACCATGCACTGGAAGGCTATGTCGACGGCCTAGGGATCTCGAACGGATGTTTGCCGGCGCGTCTCGTACTCAGGGACTGACACAATCACCTCGGCCTCTTCCCAAACGCGTGGCACGTGCTTTCCTGAAAGCGGTCCCGCACCCGGGTCGTGCTGTCGGTACCGCGAGAGTCGCAAGCACAAGGCATTGTGCCGCGTCGTGGGAGATAAGGTCATGAAGATGGGTTCGCCGAGTTCGACCCGTGCTCCAAAGAGAAACCGGCCAATCCGTCGCCGGACCTCCACTGTTCCAGGCAAAGTCATTTGCGTGTGCCGGATGTCACGCAGCAGCTGGGCTTCGGGTGCGGTGAGGCCTTCGGCAAACCATAGCTTGCGGGCATCGTAGTTGATTGGCTTCAGCGTCCTGCCGGATGTCAAATACTTGCCTTTTTGCAATTTTTGATACAAAGCTTTGGCCGCCTCAACCCATTCATGCGCCGGTGTCGCTTGGAGGACATCTGTCTTGGGTTTCCAAGCGCGGTACAGCGGCGTTTGGCAAACTGAATGCCATTTGAACGTCAACCGACGTAGGCCTGAAATTAAATCCCAAGAGTTTCGCAGCGAAGACTCGACGCGCCGGGCTAAGGCGCGCAAGTGTGGGACTGGCCCTAGCACTCGGCCTTGCGTCGCGGACGATCCTTGTTTGGAAAGTCCGGCCCACCGACAGGAGATGGGACACTGAATGGGAAGGCCCAGGCGAGGTACTCGGTCTGCCATTGGTCCCAGAATTCTGTGCCCGTCTGAATGGTGACCTTGGGCGTGACCTGAGCAAGGCGCGTCACTTCTTGGGTGGTCGTGTCACCTGCCTGGCTGCTGGTATAATCCGGGCTGAGAACTTGCGGTCGGCTGCTGCCCAAGAAGGCTTCCCCGCCAAACTGTGGAAGGTTCGCGGGTTCTGGGGTTGCTTTCTTTGTCTGAGCTGGAGTGGGTGCTGCACCAGCTAGGTCGGCTTGCTCTTCGACGGTCACTGGACAAATTTCTTCTGTGCCGTACTCCCGCTGCACTTTGGATCGGAACAGCTGCTTTAGTTCGGCTGGCGTGCCGTCATAGGCTGCGAACATGGGATGGTGTATATCCACTAAGTGATCTAAGAGGGCAACAACCACATGAGGCCTAAGGTGGGCGCCGGCTACCCACTCCACGAGCTCAGCATGCCGCATGCCTTTCACCGTCACTTTCACCATTGCGCGCAAGGCAGGGAGCGCATGCGGCAAGGTTGCGATGCGATCGTGGGGTGTCATCTGTGCGAAGTGGCCGTAGATCTCTTCCCACGGCAAGCTCACGGCACTGATGTTGCCGCGGATGGCCAGGCGGTGCTCGGCTCGATGCACCGGCTCCTCTAAGACGTGCCCGCGGTCTGCTTCAAGGTAAAAGCTCACCATGGAAGTCCACAGTGGCGAAGCAGCCGCTGTCTCTATCCATCGCACCCGATGTTGGTAGAGGAGCTCGGCCGGATAGCCATAGAAGTTGTCGTTGCTGAGGGCCGAAGGAACCCCACTAAATGCGCCTTGCCGCATTCGGCTCCAACAAGATCGGCACAATGGCAGCTCGCACTGGCGGCACAGCTGCATGCCACTTGCAGGGCAGGCGCTGCACCGGAGATCTTCCGGGCAGCACAGGATGGACTGCCCTTGAAACAATGTCTGTGGCAAGGTCCGCTGCCATTCGGCTCCGTGGAGTTGCCTTTGGACGGCTGCATGGGAGCCATAGGAAGTGCGATATTGCATCAAATCCCAATTCTGTTGGAAGCTTTCCGGCGTCAGGGCTTCGAAGATGTCTTGCACGCTCAAGTATCCAATCTCGCTTCGAGGTCCGCTGGGCAGGACGGCGGCACAGCAAGCACAGATGAGAGCAACGGCTTGCTCTTCTTGTCTTTCATCACGCACGCGTCGCAAAGTGCGACGATCCACACTCCATCCAACGGCCGGGACCGATTGCTCTTCGACACATTTCAAGGCTGCGATGTAAGAACTCACAAGATCTCCGGGGCAGTGCTGAAAGGCGAGTGCATGCTGGCTGTGCAAATGCGCCCACAGACAGGCAGCGGTGTCGTTGCAGCAGGTTCCGCTGCTGCAATGCCAAGTGACCCCCTGCACAATCCATCGATCTTTCCAGAGCAATGCGTCCACGCACGGCTGTGCGTCGCTGCACCACGTGCAACCTGCAAAGGCACAGTGGCAGGCTGGATACGGGACGCCGGACATGCTGTCGGCTAACTCTACCGGAATGTGTGGTACGGATGGTGGCAGCAAAGGTTTGGTACGAAACTGTCGGCTGATGGTCTGAATTTGTTCCCAATGTTGATCTTCCAGCGTGCACCATGCACGCTCTGGTTCTAGCGCCAGGCTAGGTGCGGCACTAGAGCCTTCACTCGATTGGTGTGAATTCCACGACACGACACTTTCCGTGTCGGCAAAGCCCACTTCGGACCCGCTGCTGCAAGGTGGCGTGGCCGGTGTTGGCCACGGGTCTTGGTTGGATACCATCGGCTTGCTTGGCTCGGCCGCCGCTTCTGCGGAGGCAGGCGCCGCATTCGGCTGGTTGGGTTGCTCTGCCGGCTCGACCCGCGAAGGTTGCACGCGGATCATACCCAAATGCTGTTGCAAGGCTCGTGCTCCCTCCCTGTGCCATATCTGCAACCATGGTGTTGGTTGCCACACCGAAGCGGGTGGCCTATCTTCCCACAGCAAGCTATAGTGTCCGGTGTGACCCATGGGTTGGCGCACCAGGTGCAAGGCATGCGGGTGCAGCTCAGCCAGCCGCATCGCTTCCGCGTCAGTGACTTGCTCCATCGTTGCAATCCAGTAGTTGGCATCCACGTCTGTACTCCAGACAAGCACTTCAAAGCCAAATGCCTTTGTCAGTGCCCAAACCTCCACGCTGGTGCCATGATGGATGCTATCCAGCATGTTCGGCATTTCCAACACTGCCGTCAGCTTGCTCCAAAGCACGAGCAACCCTTGCGGAAGTTCATCAGGCAAGAATATGCCTCGGCGTTGCAGGAATCGGCGATGCAGTTCCAACTCGGCGGGCTGGTCGGGCATGCAAGCAATGTTAATGTCCGCGGCACTGGGGCCGTCGAATTGCTGGATTAGAAATTCCAATGCCTGCACGTATGTGTCCGCTGCTTTCCGCACGCTCCACTCTGGCTCGTGGCTTTCGTGCCGTTCCAAGTACCAGCTCACGGCATGAAGGAGACACCACCCATCGCCGGGGATGTCGACCGGCACTCTCCGCAACCTTTGGGCACGTGCTTCTACAGTATAGCTTGCTTCCGGCTGTTCCGTTGCATTGTTGCCGCCGGAGGCAGCTCCACTGTTGCTACTGGCATCGGTTGGCCCAGGTCCGTTACCATGCAGCGCATGGGCGAGTCGATTGCGGAGCTTCCGGCTCCAATGCCACAACCGAGTCCATGCCTTCTTCCTGCGACGTTGCCGCCGTCTGCCACGGCATGGTTTGTACCGCCTGCCTTTGATCCGGCGGCAGGGCTTGCTGCCACGCGCTCTCTTGGTAAGCACCCTGGCAATTCGTGTGGCTGCAGCGTCCACCACCGTCGGCCACACGGTGCACAGCATGTGACTAAGAATTGCGTACAGTAGTGTCTCACAGAACGGCAGCATGCCATCGTGGATGCAGTGGCACAATCCTAGCCAGAACAGTCCATGGCAGAGAGTCCTGACAAAAAGCCATCGGCACGACATGGCAGGCACGGGCAACCGACACCGCGTCCGGCTGGGGGCGCGCCCTTATCTGATATGTTGCTTCTAATGTTTCTACGGTGCAGTGTTGCTTGCAGCCTCTGATACCAAAGGTGGTTTTGATTGCATACAAGGGGTTCTATGTGCTAGTCAACTCTGTCTACGCGTTTCGGGTTGGTTGCGACGTTCGTGTACTCGATGCTGTACATGTACCTACTGACGGTTCTTGTCGCTGCGCTTTTTTCTGCTGTTGCGTTGTCAGCTACCTTGGCATGCGTCAACTACTTTGCTTTTCACACGGGGCTGACCTGCAGGCGGGTCGTCATGTTGCGTGGTTGTCCCCCTGGTCGTGACCCGGCTCCATTTGCTACAGGCTAGATTCTGGCAAGGTTCACGGTGTCAACTTACTGTCCATCTAGGTCCCAGACCATCTGTCCAGCTACGTCAGTGACATTTGTTGGCTTTGTTTCACTGAGGTTTTGTTGCTAAACGGTGGTTCACGATCAATGTGCGACGGAAACCAAGCCAGCTCGCACACTCGAGTCCCCCGAACATGCCCCACAAGACAGGCCGGGTTGACGGCTCGCCGTTGACGCGCTTTCGGTCGGCCACGCTGCTTTGCGCTGCTGTAGCCATGTTGTCCATTTGCCGTCGTGCTGCTCTTGCCTTGGTCGGTCTGAGCAACGCTCGGACGCGCGCTCGAGCAACTTTGACTCTCGCCTGAGCTACGCTCTAGCTGATCAAGGCTTCAAACTAGCTACTCCGGACACCGGCTTCTTCCCGTGCTGGCTAGGCAATACATATCAACGAAACATGCCGATCCAACCAAGCCGGGTTGACCGTTCACCTTGGTCGGTCTGAGCAACGCTCTGACACTCGCTTGAGCAACGCTCCAGCTGACCAAAGCTCTCACCCCCTGCCTTTCAACATGCCGTTCTCGGAACTTGCCATGCCGCTGTGAAACCCGACCACACCGGATCGTCTACGTTGCTTCTTGATGCATGCCCCTTCCAAACAAGCCGGGTTGACAGTTGACCTCGTTTGGTGCATCGGAGCAACACTTTAACTCTCGCCTGAGCCACGCTCCGGCTTCAAAACATGCCGGGTTGACCGCTAGCCTGCTTGGGCAACGCTCTCGCTGACTAAACCTCCTGGACCCTGCTTGTAAAC